GGCGGGGCTCCACCGAACGTAGCGACCGCCACGGGACTGGAGGGCTCAGAACAGCGCCTGCCTACAGATACACATTGCCCCCGCATCATTCGCGTCTGTAAGAAAACACGGTGCACCGAAAACGCACGTGACGCTTTGGGTCTACGCGCCACGGTCGCGCGCGAGCTAGCTGCGGGCTGGCGGCGGCTGGCAGGACGCCGATCTTGATCCGATGTCCCTGCGGGGAGAGGCGCCCCGACGCCGCTTATTGTTAACACCGAGCGGCCCGCTTCGCGGGTCGCGCATGAGGCGCCCACTACGGTGACCACCAAAACGCTCATTGTGTGACCATCGTGAAGCCCACAATTGTTCCGTTCCACCACTATCAAAAGACCAGCAGCGCATCGGAGAGCACTCTGACGACGCCGAAACACACATGTTCTCCGACAGGGCGGGCGGACATGCAGGGCACCAGGGTGGTCCCACAGGGGCGATTTTCTGGGCACCATAGGTGGTCACAGGCACCAGATTTGTGGTTCCCGGGGGGGCAAGGAGTGGTCACACCAAGAAGCGGCATGTGCGCAAAGCTGCAGCAACGACCTGGGCAGGGACATCGCCACCCTCGGACATGCGACAGCGAACGGCGTCTCGTTCCTCCTCGTCCTCCGACGCCCCCTCAGGTCTTTGTTCCTCCTCTTGCTCCCACGTCCCCTCCTCCTCCTCCTCCTCCTCCTCCTCCTCCTCCTCCTCCTCCTCCTCCTCCTCCTCCTCCTCCTCCTCCTCCTCCTCCTCCTCCTCCCCTTTCCTCCCTCCTCCTCCCTTCTCCTCCTCCTCCTCCTCCTCCTCCTCCTCCTCCTTCCCCTCCTCCTCCCTCTCATCCTCATCATCCTCCTGAAAATATTGCAGGATTTCTTCTTATACAAAAAACAATGGGACGATAGCACTTGAGCCAAACAGTTGCGAAAATAGGCCCTGGCACCGATTAACGAAATGTGGTCATTTTTTTGACGTGACGCAGCTGCTATACAAATGGCGCAGTCACACTGGCTGATATTGCTCACCCAATCGGAGCGCAACAATCAAACACCCCCGAACGACTGGCAAAACGTATGTGGAAACGGACGACGTATAGACACCAAAATCGACAGCGTAACGGATGAGGTATAAAGAAATAGTGGGCGCAAGTATACAGTCACAGGCCGGGTCCCAAATCCAACATGGCAAGCAACATGAAATGTCAAAAACGTGAGCACTCGGCACAAGCAAAAAGGAGGCTAAGATGTAAGATGTGGGCGCGGGTTTCCTAACACACGATGCACGATTCCTAAATGTCGCAAAGTGTCATATTACGCCGAATGATCAGCATATAATGTAGTGCGTCTGCATTTCGATGAGCACCTGGAACCCAAACGATACTGAGCTTAAACCACTGGCAGAGTGACACAACTGTTTTCCTGAGCTAAACGAACAGTCCGTAGCAACTGACAGCTCGTGTCTGCAGCTAACAAAATGTTAACGGGTACCTCGCACGTGATGGTTAAAGCAGATGTCTGGTCGCGTTGATGTCTCCTCGCCGTACCTTCTCTTGTAACCAAAACTGACAAACCTCGATGTGTTTGAATTGTCTTACCCCTCCTCGCCGGTTCGCAACGTCAATGGCGGCGCCGGCATTGGAGAACGGCTTATAATCCCAACACGACTGATCATCCTTCACAATCCCGTAACTCTGCTTCCCCAGCAGATAACGCCACGACGCGATGAATCGAATTCCACGACTTTATCAACAGCGATCCCCACACAACTATTCCTCCACGTGCACGTTGCTTTGCACCGTGCGTAATCGGTGTCTGCCCACACGAATGACTCCAAAGGTCGTTCTTGATACAAATATCGTTACCCGCACCTGTCGCGGTTCTTCAGACGCCTATCGAATAATACTGTGGCATTTGTCCGTGCCCCTCGGTGTGAGGCTGACATGGAGCGCGCGAGCCCCTTCACTTTAATATCCATGTCCGGTCCTGCGCAGAAAAACTTGCCGGGGCCACTATACTATTGAATTCCTCAAGTCCATGACTCGAAAAGAACTCCTCGACGCTCGCAAATATGTTTCCAACTTGGCATCCCACATCTTACACTGCTTGGATCCAGGCATAATTCCTTGCCCATTGACTCCGCGCGGTATTGAACCGCCGCGCGCCATGGCCCATCCCAGTTCCATTCCACAATTCGGTTGGGAATCATGGTCGAATTCAAATCTGGTGGTCCAGGCCCGAGTCTGCCTCGAAGTGTATCTTCGAGTCCCCTGCAAAATTCACTCTCGAACCAGCCACGACCAAAATTTACCCAGCACCATAAAATCAACCCCACGCAACGTTAGACAAGTTCGCCCTGTTTAATGTTTCGATACCCGCGATGACGCTTTCCGTTGGCACAACCGATATCGCGCGCAAAGTCCACGCGGAAATATTCCCTATTGCTGGTGGCGTCTCGGGTTCCACGCGTCGATTTAACCGCCCTGCACAAACGCCCAGTTCACGATCTTCTTCGGGCAACCTGATGAAGATGTTCTCTCAACCTTGTCGTAGAAGTGTGCCAGTTCAACATCAACAGACCCTGGCTTGAATCCTCTCTCGCGACCCCTCTGGCCGCGCCCCGTTCCCTCGGTAGCTGCCATGGGGAATGGCAGCTGTTGCGCTTCCAATGGAAGGGGGTGGCTGCAAATGTGCTACTCTCTGCGCCATTGCTCTCTAATCGCTGCGCAACCAGCAGGGATCGGTGCTCAGAATTGGCCTCGACACATACAGTCGGGGCGTTGACCTAAGGAACCCAAAATAAGGAACGAGGCCCCTATTTTCCATAAGTTAAACTTCGAATTCGTGTCGAAAACCTAAGGAAAATCTGAGGCAAGCTGTGAAACACTTAAGGAACGCGGAGCCCCTCCCCAACCAAAAGGGTTCCTTCTTCAGGGCCCCGACTGTATGTCAGCATCGATCCACCTCGCGCCAGCGGGGGCTTCGCCAGCAACCGCCCGGCCTAACGAAATGTTGCCCCCCCCCGCTGGCGTGGCAAAATTGCAGTACAAACGATGCAGTCATGCTGGCCGATCCTGCTCACCCAGTTGCACCGCTACTATCTAACACCTCCTCTTCCTCCTCTTCCTTCACCTCCTTCTCCTCCTCACTCCTCCTCCTCCTCCTCCTCCTCCTCATCATCATCCTCCTCCTCCTCCTCCCAGTTCTTCCTTGTCCGTCCTCCTCCCCATCCTCCCCCTCCTCCTCCTCCTCCTCCTCCTTCTCCTCCTCCTCGTCCTCCTGTTTACGTTAAACCTTAGCATGATGATGTGGCGTTGCTGCGTGAAAAAAGGTACAGACGCGCAGGTAGACGACTCGGCGCAAAACGACCTGGCGGGCGCCGCAGAGAATTAACAAGGCAAAGAAACTAAAAAGATGAGCAAGAACAGCCAGCGCCCGCCAGGTCCAAGACGTCGGCACTGACCTTAGTGATAAGTACCCCCAGTAAGTCATGACAATCCCCGCAAATATTTTGTAAATTGTAGTGTGCGCGATCGCCCCTGTGGCAGGCGAAGTGCGGACGATCTCCCCACATCCTCCCAACGCACATCCACTCCCAACCCACATCCATCCCTCATTACTGACCTGGTACTGGCTGCCGCAGGTACAGGTGCAAGTGCTATGCAATGTGACAGAAGCTGAGCCCATAAACTAGTGGACTCTGGTGACTGCCAAAAGTGTGCGGCTGAGCAACGTGTGTTGATCAAAGCGAGCGTATGGCGACCAGCAGTCCACTGTAGAGCTGGCATATCCTCCTCCTCCTCCTCCTCCTCCTCCTCCTCCACCTCCTCCTCCTCCTCCTCCTCCTCCTCCTCCTCCTCCTCCTCCTCCTCCTCCCCCTCCCCCTCCCTCCTCTTCCCGTGATAAGTCGAGAAAGGTTCATATGCTAACACTGCATCGTGCGCGACGAGCCTCCGAACACTCAAGGGGATGGCCAAAAGGACGGTGTGGTTGATACGCGTGCGAATTCACAGGAAATCCGCAACGTGGCACATGTGGCGCGTCAACCTCTAGGTGGGTTTGGTATATTGCGCCGCCAGAGTCCGCGATGCACATCGCAATTTGGGGTTTCCAATCGTGGAAAAGGCTTCCTTGTGGTCCTCCCAAGGCTGGGTCAATGACAGCTCGGTTCGACTTCAAAACGCCCTGAGCGGTTTTTTGTTTTGTATGTTGGGCCCTTGACAAACTAAAAACACGAAACAACACGATACGGTGTTTTAGTGGTTTAGGGTTGATGTTTTAGCGTTTTGGGCTGGTCGCTGTGGATCATCCTGTTGCTCAATAATGTTTTCATGTTTTGTCGAGGGCTGCCCCTTGTGATCACTGCCGTCTCCGCTTCCGCTCTCCCGTTCCTGCTGCCTCCCGTTCCCCCCGCTCCGCGCGAAGAGCTAAAAACTTCAAGCAAAAACAAAAGCCCCGACACCGGTCTCACACTGGCGCGAAACAGGCCCGGAGGCCCCGCGACCCGCCAGCAGCGACGGCCGAAGAAGAGCAGCAGGAAGAAATACAAGAATTATCTAGAGAGGGCAGGACGCAAGGAGAAGGAACTGAGGACGTCGTAGGCGGCAGCGTCACAACGCAATCAACGGATCTGAAGACGCATATCAAAAACGCGACAAAACAACAGATGACACTTGTTTTAGCATTGCTCGCCTCTCAGCTGGGACCACCAAAGGAGAAGCACCCAAACAAAACGAAGAGTTGAAAACTGTAGCAACAAAAGAGGCAACAAAAAAACGCATCATTAGGACGAACGAAGATCACCAGCATCATCAGATAGTCATCAGCAACATCGCCAGTATCACCATCAGCATCAGCATCCTCACCATCATCCATCACCATCATCAGCATCATCAGCATCATCATCACCATTATCATCAGCAGCAGCATGATCCTGTACCCCTCCCCCCCTCCTCCCGCAGCCAGCAGACGATGGCGACCCAGAGGAGCCTTGTCCTCCAGCCCCGACCTGGCCATCACGGGCGTTGCCCCCAGCACGACCTCCGCGACAGCCTCCGCACCGAAATAGGGATTCCCCGTCCGCTGACGCCGCCGTCGTCGCCGCCGCCGTCGTCCATCTCATCATCCTCGCCCAATTCCTCGTCGTACCCACCCTCCCTCAACGTCCTCCTCCCCCGTTCTCTTTCTCTGGTCAATACATTACAGACTCCTCCTCGCCCCCCATCCCTCTCTTCCTCGCCCTTCTACCTTCTCCCCCGCGCCTCGTCCTTCCTCCCCTCCCCCACCACCATGATCCTCATCACCATCGCCACCAGCACAACAACAATAATACACATACGAACGATTAACATAATAGTAGAAATGGGCATCAGCACCATCATCCATCAGATTCATCATCAGAATCAGTATGATCATCAGCATCAGCATCATCAGCATCATCAGCATCAGCATCATCGCCATCATCATACTCAGTATCATCAGCATTACCATCATCAGCAGCAGCATCGGCATCGGCATCATCATCATCGACATCATCGACATCATCATCATCATCATCATCATCATCATCATCAGCAGCAGCAGCATCAGCATCATCAGCATCATCAGCATCATCAGCATCGCCATCATCAGCATCATCTGCATCATCATCGTGATCATCAATATCATCATCAACATCATCACCATCGTCATGATCGCCGTCGTCATTGTCATCATCGTCATCAGCATCATCATACTCATACCCATACCAATCACCATCACCATCACCATCACCGTCACCATCACCGTCACCATCGACTTCATCACATCATTATGATTATCAGTAGCACCACCACCATCTCGTCACTCACAGCAACCTTATCAGCTTCTGCTGCCAGAAGACGGCACCCGACGGCACGCGAAAAAGGGTGCCACCCTCACGGCCAAATCCACAATACTGGCGGCTGCTACACGGAACCTCCCGTGTAACCCATCCCTGCTGGAAGAGCAAAAAGATACCGATACCGCTCCAAGCATACAACGCCACGGCTAGCCTCGGCCACGAATAGGCGCCAAGACCTGGACCTAAGGAACGGCCGGAAACCTCAGCCCCTCATGAACCCAAACAAGGTCCTTACTTCAGCATCTTGAGTGCACTCCCCAGACCTATCGCAGGGCACGTTAGGCTGATGATACGGCGGCGAATCCAGTCGTGGCAGCAAGGGCATCGGCACCTTCCCGACATGATAATTGAACAACATACAGGTCCATCTCCTTCATCCTCATCATCATCCTCATCATCATCAGCATCAGTATCGTCATAACTATCAGCATCGTCGTTGTCGTCATCATCATCATCATCAACATCATCATCAGCGGCAGCATCATCCTTCCCCCCTCCTCCTCTCTCCTCCTCCTCCTCCTCCTCCTCCTCCACCTCCTCCTCTGATAATGATGGTGATGAAGATGATGATCCTCCTTTTTCTGGGAGCGAACGAGGGGGCCTGAGAGAGGGCCTGCATCCTCGTGAAACCCACCCTCGCCGCCAAGCAGAGGAAGGAGACGAGGAGGCGCAGCGCGCGTGCACGCGCGCGCGCGCATGGGGAGGGGCCCGAGCGGGCGGCGCACAGCGCAGAGGCCGCAGGGGCCGCTCCGTGCGGCGCATAGGCTCTGACACAGCGTGTCGGGTGCGCAAAGGCCAGGGTCACTCGGCATCGAATCGGAAGTCGGGTCGAATCGGAGCTTGCGTCGGATCGGGCCACGTCGGCACGAAGTCGGAATCGGACCAGGATCGGCCGCGACAGGATGCACGATAGCGCTGTGCAAGCAGCGCACGCCGAAAAGGGAGGCCAGGAAGAGAGGGGTTGGCGCATCGTGGCGCGAGGCATGTGCTTTTATTTTCCAGCAGCGACCTCGTGGGGCCAGACCTATGCAAGCAAACCATATGAATATCTCACTGTGGAACTGAAAACAAAAACAACGGCGCCTCAGGAGCTGGAGGGGGCCAAGAAATCTGGGAGGCGTTTTGGCCCTGGTCCCGATACCACCCGTAGTCCTCAACCCCCTCTTCGACGCCCCCGAGAGTAGGTGCGCCGCTCCGCTCGTTCGATTGAACCGGACCGAACGGACCGAACAAGCGGAGAGACGCAGATCCTGACAGAAGCGGGTCCTGGACCTCGTCGTCGGGAATGTCGGCTGGCCCCAAGGGAACCAGCTCTTCTGCCCCAGGCAGTTCCTTGACTGCCGAACAAAAAAACGGCAAAGAGAATCTCCAGGATCCGCTGCCCCCGCACACCCTCTCTTTGAGGCGAATCGGATAACGGCGGCGGCGCCTTCGCCGCCCTCGCCGCCTTCGCCGGCGGCACTCCGTCGCCGCCCTTCGAGGCAGCGCGCTTCTTCGCCACAGGCGCCTTGATCGCGAACTTCCCGGGCTCGAGAAGCCTGTCTGCTGGAGTGGGGAGCAGGGAACAGGGGAGAGGGTGGAGAAGAAGGGATAGGGGAGAGGGAAGGGAGTTTGGGAGGAGCGAGGGGGAGGAGGAGAGGAAAAGGGGAAGGGGTAGAAGCTGGGTTCAGGCTCCTCAGAGGACAGCCACAAACTGGCTCGCTCACTCCCGCTCACACTCTCAACCTATCAGCAGCATCCGAGACTCAAGATCGGCAGCGGTCTCCATCTGATGGACAGTCGTAAAAAATCGATGTGCGCGCCAGGTGCACCACGCGCGCGAAGTACGCCACGCGTACCAGGTGCACAACTCGTTTGTCTGGAGCGCTGGGATCCTCAGGTGCCCAAGGCGCACCGCGTGCGCAAGGTGCACGTCGTGTGCCACACGCTTCAGGCGCGCCAGGAGCGCCACGTGCGCGAGTGCGCCAAATGCGGCGGTTCACTTGACAACGCACACCACACAATATGCCGGCAACCCCGCCATCCCTAACAAAACCAAATTCAGAGTGACGGCGGGGCGGTTAGCATCCCGCAGAATCGGCGCGCTTTTGACATGGCCTGCACACAACGGACAATATAATGAGCCTCCTTGTATTTTCACCTGCTGGCGGCCAATCGTGCGGGGAAGGCCGTTTACAACCAGGAACAGATTTACAGATCTGGGGGTGTGGAGGAGAAAGGGGACAGGGAGGGGAAGGGTGATCATTGAAACTGCGACGAGACGGAAACATGCGATCCAATACTGCACAGAAAACAAAAAACCCACGGAGGATGCAGGGAAATGTACAAAATTAGGGAAAGGGCAGGGGCGGCGGTGATTCGCAGGAGGTGCATTCGACAATAGCACCGCAATGTTACAGCTACTGCCACTGCTAATCAGTATCAACAGCTATAACGATACGGCTTCTACTGACCCCTCTTTCCTCCTCATTCCTCCTCCTATTCCTCCACTACCTCCTCCTCCACTTCCTCCTTCTCTTCCTCCTCCTTCCCCTCATTATCCTCATCATCCTCATCCTCCTCCTCCTCATCATCAGCATCATCATCCTCGTCAGAAAAATATCATCGTCATAACTGTCGTCAGCATCGACAGTGTCGTACCAACAACACATCATCGTCGTCTGCATCGACACCATCAACATTAGCGTACTCAGCATCCATGCGTCCATCACAATCATGACGATCATTACCCTCATAATCAGCATCGTCGTCACCACGATCGGCACCAACATCCTTACTTACCATCACCAGCAGCAGCATCGTTATCGTCATCATCACCATCACTATCGCCTGCGTCAACATCATAAGTAACAACATCACGATCATCGTCATCGTCGTCATCATCAACCTCATCATACTCGGTAGCATCAGCTGTGTTATGTGAATGTCAATCGTCTTCATAATCGTGACCATCTTCATCATAACCATCAGCAGCACCACCATCAGCATCGTCATCATTACCATCATTTTCAGGACCATCATTAGCATCACCATCATCAGCATCATCAAGATCATCATGATCATCAACCGCACCATCATCCTCTTCAATCACATCATCATTATCATCGTCATGATCGTCGTCGTCATCATCACTAGAACTGTCTTCATCATCACCTTCATCATCACGATCGTCATCGTCGTCGTCATCGCAATCATCATCATCAGCAGCAGCAGTTTCAGCATCATCATCAACATCGCCATCACCATCACCATCGCCATCATCATCATCATCGTCATCGTCATCATCATCATCATCATCATCATCATCATCATCATCATCATCATCATCATCATCATCATCATCACCATCACAGTCAGCATCATCATCCTGGTCAGCGTGGTCCTCACCATCATCGTCTTGTTGTTATGCTTAGATGTGAGGCGAAGCTGCTCCTGAGTACAAACACCTAACTTACGAAAACATGATAGCGTAGGATACCAAAACCCCAATCAGTAGATTGTTTAAAATGTTGGCAGGCGCCGAAATTTCGAAGAGACCCGAAATACCGATTCGGCGTAAGTTTTGGAAGGGATATCCGCCGGCTCAAAGCGGCTCAAGAGGATAGACGATCTCGGAGGGCTCGTCGACGGCCCAATGCGGTCTGAATACGGCCCCGCGACTGCCCGAAGAGACCGAACAGACGGCGGAAACGCCCCACTACTGCCCACTTGAGTCTCAAGACTGCTCCACGGGGGCCCAGGACAAACCCGGGACGACCGAAATGAACTTCTAAAGGTCAGGTCAAAAGGTGCCAGATGTGACGGCATTTCTCTTATGCCTCCTCTTGCTAATGGCCTTTGTCATCAGCATCACCGTGCATCATCAGCATCATCATGATCATAGCCATCATCAGCAGCAGTATCATCGTCAACATTCTCATCCTCATCCTCATCAGCATCATCACCATCATCAGCATCAGCATCAGCATCATCATAATCATCAGCATCATCTTCATCGTTTTCGTCATCATCATCATCATCATCATCATCATCATCATCATCATCATCATCATCATCATCATCATCATCCTCGTCGGTATTGGGTCTTCGTTGACGTCGTCATCACCATTCGACAAGTCGGCACCCAGATGGTTCTGCTGGCGCGGCGGTGGCATTGGCCGCAAGGCATGTGGATACTCGCGAAGTGGGCTCATACAAACACGAGCAGAAGCATCAAGAATGAGTTTGATAGTGACATGGGTAATACCAAGAGTGAGATCGATAGTGGGATCGATAGTGGGATCGATCGAGTGAGGACGCTAGTAAGGTCGATCGTGAGACCGATAATGAGGTCGATTTAGTGAAACCGATAGCGAGATCGACCGTGAGATCGATAGGGAATCGATTATGAGATCAATAGCGAGATCCATAATGAGATCGATAGAGGGGTGTGCAAGGAGATCGATGGTACCGATCGATAGATCGACCAAAAAACTGGGAAACCCGAAATCCAGGAACCCCGCCGCCCACCGAAATTGGCCTAAAACCAGCAAACGGGCACTTGGGAACCCAGAACCGGGAGATCGATCGTGACATGGATAATGAGATCGTCGGATCGATCGTGGGATCGATAGTGTGATGACGATGGTAAGGTCGATCGTGAGGCCGATAATGAGGTCGATTCAATGAGATTGATAGTGGGATCGATCGTGACATCGTCCGTGCGATCTATAATGGTATCGATAGTGAATCGATTGTGAGATCGATAGTGCGCTCGATAGAAGAGGTGGGTAAAAAATTCGATGGTGAGACCGATCGACAATGAGATCGACGAAGAAACTGGGAACCCGGAAACCGGGGAACCCCGCCGCCCGCCGCCCACCGAAATCGGCCCACCAGCAAACGGGCAACCGGGAACCCGTAACCAAGAGTTCGAAACCCGGAACCCAATCAGTGCTTGCACTGAAGGGGTCCTAGCGGAGATGGAAAAACTTGGCGAAAATGACGGGCCGATTTCGGTGGGCGGCCGATGGGTTCTCGGATTCATGATTCCGGCTTCCCAGGTGCCCGTTTGCTGCTGCCGGGCCGATTTCGGTAGGCGGCGGGGTGCCCGGGTTTCATGGTTAAAAGTTTCCTCGTCGATCTCGTTATCCACCTCTCTATCGACATCACTATCGATCTCACTATCGAGCTCACAATTCATCTCCCAATCAGTATCACTATAGATCGCACCGGCAATCGAACGATCGACCTCAATAAACAGTCTTGCTGAATCGACTTCACTATCGGTCTCACGATCGACCTTACTATGGTCCTCACACGATCGACCTACTATCGATCCCACGATCTCATTATCCATATCACTGTCAAACTCACGGTTCCAGGTTCCCAGTGCCCGTTTGCTGGTTCTGGGCCGATTTCGGTAGGCTGCGGGGTTCCCGGGTTTCTGGAGTCCCGGTTTCCTCGTCATTTTCCTTATCGATCGGTACCATCGATCTCCTTGCCGACCTCTCTATCTAGCGCACTATCGATCTCACAATCGATTCACTACCGATCTCACTATAGATCGCACGGGCGATGTAACGATCGATCTCGCTATTGGTTCCACTGAATCAACCACCTGACTATCGGTCTCACGATCGACTTTACTATCGTCCTCATTATCGATCCCACTATCGATCCCACTATCGATCTCACTATCGGTGTCATTATCCATATCACTATCGAACTCATTATCGATGCTTCTGCTCGTGATTGTACGAGCCCACTTCGCGAATATCCACATGCCTTGCGGCCAATACCACCGCCGCGCCAGCAGAACCGTCTGGGTGCCGACTGGTCGAATGGTGATGACGACGACAGCGAAGATCAAATGTCGACGATGATGATGATGGTGATGATGATGATGATGGTGATGATGATGATTACGATGATGAGAATGACCATGTTGACGATGATACTGCTGCTAATGATGGCTATGGTCATGATGATGCTGATAATGCGCGGCGATGCTGATGACAGTGGCCATTGGCAGAAGGAGGCATAAGAGAAACGCCGTCACATTCGACACCTCTCGACTTCACCTTTGGAAACTCATTCGGGCCGTCCCGGGGTTGTCCTGGGCTCCCGTGGAGCAGTCTTGAGACTCAAGTGGGCAGTTGTTGGGGCCTTTTCGCCGTCTGCTCGGTCTCTTCGGGCAGCAGCGGGGCCATATTCAGACCGAGTTGGGCCGTCGACGAGCCCTCTAAGATCGTCTATCCTCTTGAGCCGCTTTGAACAGGCGGATACCCGAAAAAGCGACAATGCCACAACCCTTCCAAAACTTGCACCGATATAGTATCTAGGGCCTCTTCGAAACTGCGGCGCCTGCCAAATTTTCAAACAATCCACTGATTGGGTTTTCTCTGGTGCATTGGATAACGAGATCGTGGGATCGATAGGGGAATCGATCGTGTAAGGACGATCGTAAGGTCGATCGTGAGACCGATAGTGAAGTCGATTAAGTGGGATCGATAGTGAGATCGATAGTTCGATCGCCCCTGCGATCTATAGTGATATTATCGATAGTGAACCGGTTGTGGGATCGATTGTGAGATCGACAGTGAGAGCGATATTGAGATCGATAGAGAGGTGGGTAAGGACATCGATGGTGAGACCGATCGATAAGGATATCGACGAGGAAACGAGGAACTCGGAAACCCGGGAACCCCGCCGCCTACCGAAATCGGCCCCGAAGCAACAAAAAGGCACCTGGGAAGCTGGAGCCGGGAACCCCGGAACCCGGGAACCCGGCCGCCCACCGAAATCGACCCGGCATTTTCGCCAAATATTTACATCTCCGCTAGGACCCCTTCAATGCAAGCACTGATTTAAGAAATTACACACTATACACAAAGCGCTCACTCCCGACCCGTACTGTCGCTTCTCAACATGCATCGAATCCACCCCTAGCGATACTGCTGCCACGCAGCCCTGTCCTCGGCGATCTCCGTCCACTCCATGCTGGACGCCCGAAAGAACTTGTCGAACATAAACTCATGGCACCAAGGCGAATATCGACCCAGATGCCCTGTATGACCAAATGTGTCCCTCACGTTCCTGCAGCAGTAGCGGACTCTGTCCTGGATAATGTTGTACGTCGCTCGCGTCGGGGCGTACGCCGCCATGCAAACATTTCCCATGAAATCGTCAATACGACCAGGACGATCTCGCCAGGACACGACAACTCTAAACTCACCTTGATGTCCCGCGTGAGGGCATTCTGACGGCGCGCGTAGGAAGAGTCAAATTCCCCAGACATCATCGGCAAATGAAGATGCCGCTTGAAGATCCTGGTGCATGCTGCCCCGCAATTTGGAGAGTTCCGTGCGCGTCAACGTCCAAACTGGAGCAGACCTGAATTGCCACATAAATACTTGATGCATCAAGCGGTAATGGTGCTTCCGCGTGCCACCCTTGCATCGCCATAGATCTCTGCGCTGCTCCAGCATACTGGCAGCGACAGCCCGCTTCTGGTCGTCGTCGTCGTCGTAATCGTGATCGTAATCGTGATCGTAATCGTAATCATCACCATCAGCAGCAGCATCGTCATCAGCATCATCGCCAGCATCAGCATGAGTATCACCATCACCAGCAACAGCATCATAATCAGCATCATCATCATAATCATCCTCATCCTCATCCTCATCATCCTCATCATCATCCTCATCATCATCAGCAGCATCAGCAGCATCAGCATCTGTATCATCATCACCAGCATCAGCATCAGCATCAGCATCATCATCGTCATCATCAGCATCATCATCATTATCATCATCATCATCATCATCGCCATCATCATCATCATCACCACCATCATCATCATCATCATCATCATCATCATCATCATCATCATCATCATCATCATCATCATCATCATCATCATCATCATCATCATCATAGTCATCATCATCATCGTGATCATGATCATCAGCATCATCATGTTCCTCATCCTCATCCTCATCCTCAGCATCTTCAGCAACAGCAACAGCGTCAACATGACCACCCCACCAGCCTCTTGGCGGTGACGCAGGCGCCCACGAAGCCCTCCTGCAAAGAGGGGCACTGGGGGCGGGGGCCTTGGCGGGCGAGGCCCGCCCCCTCCAGGCTGTGGAGGGGAGGGGAGACGATCGGCGCCGCACAGACGTTGGCGGGGCAAGCTGCCCTCTCAGAAGGCAGGGGGGGGCATCTAGAGTGAAGTCGGGCCAGTCCCTCCACAGGAGGGATATTCCAAAATAGTCCAAAAATAGTCTGGGGACTATGTTTTTACTATGTTTGAGCATTTGGGGAATATGTTTTGAGTATTTCTAATTTGTCGCCCAAAATCCCGCTGTAGGGGAACAGGCCCGACCTAAATCTAGAAGGACACGGATGCTTCCAAGAAGGCTTCTCACAAGGGCTCGAGGGCTTGCAAGAAGCCGCCATGCCTTTCTAGAAAACATCCCCCCTGCCCCTCGGCCCAAACACGCTTGCGCACAATTTGTCATGTCTCGAGAGCTCTTAATTGTGCTGTGAAGCGAGGGACTGGTCAGATGGGCCAGGTCCAATCAAGGCTGGGTTGCGCGGCAAATTGATCAACTGGCCCTGCGCGCTGCGGTCTGACCGTTGCCGGGTTGAGCGATTGATTGTGCAGTGGGTTGCACGGTGAGTCGCGCGTCGCTGTGCTGCGCGGCGGATTGCGAGGTGGGTTGCGCATTCAATAGGTTGCACCCTATGTACTACAAACTGTATGTGGCAGCTCACAAGTGCACACCACATATTGCGCCCCACCGACTGCTCCCTATGAACAGCACCCCACTGGTTGCAGACATAAACTGCGCTCTACACGTTGCGCCTCATTGGTTGCACCCTACACGTTGTACCCAGCATGTTGCACAGAGCCACTGTTTTGGGGCCCACGGGCCGAGTGGAGAGAAGTGTCACGCATTACAGCCGCAGGGAGCTTAGGGAAGAGTACCGCCACATGTGACGGTCGACTGCATCGCGGAAGAAAGAGATGCCACGTGTGACGGCTCCACGGTTCGGAAGAAGGGAATCGTGTCATGCTGCGGCGTTCCCCGAACTGGAAAAGAAAAAGCCGCATGTTTCATCCCTCTGGTGGACTCGCAAGCGCCAGGGCGTTCTCACAAATAGGTACTCAAGCGTGCGACTCATGGTACGGCCCACTGGGAACAAAAACATGTTGTTACAGCCTTCCCCGAATTGGGGACGCGCAGTGCAACATACTGTGTCCCTCAAGGGACCAGGGGAGAGAAGCCGCACGTCACGACCCCGTGGGCAGTCTTGTCGAGCCGTCCGAAAGACTCGTGAGCCCGTCGTCAGCCAGACCTGGACAGCTCCAGACAGGTCTTGGGGATATTATGTACTGTCCACGGGTCGTCTTGGGCTGATGTTGAGCAGGCGCCTAGCTCTCTTGGGCGCCTGGAGCCTCTCGGGGGCCAAGTGGGGGGAATGTTGAGCGCCTGTTAGAGCCCATGTTGTCCTCTCGAGTCGAGAGACTGGGAGGATGCACAATTCTTGGGGGAGACCGTGGCGGCCAGAAAACACGGGTGCCGAATAGACGACGTGGTCTCCCTCTTGAGACAACTCTGCCGTACCCAACCGCTCCACAAAAAAGGTGGCAATTCCACTCCGACGCACCCATAAAATCACAACCCAGCCAGGCAACCCTGGCACTATACCACTCCATGATGGTGACTCGGGTAAATAGCAAAGAACCCTGACGGGGACGTCTACTACGTACTTGCCTTCACGGTCAGGGTTAAAAATGTTGCACGCCATAGACCTTATTTCCTATCCTTCCACACCCCTCCTCTCCCATCCCTCGCCACGACCCCTGCTTCTCCAACTGTGTCCTTCGCTTTACCGTTTTGTTCGCTGCCCGAGTGCTGGCCAGCGCGCAACTGCTTCTCTCCTTAGCCCACGGGCGGAGGGGAGGGCAACGAAGCGTTGACACGCGAGGGCCCAACGGGCCCTCGTCAGCCCCTGCGTGCTGCCACGCGCGCAACTGTCCTCGCTCTCGAGGGGGCTCAAGCGGAGTGGTGACGCACGCGGACCCAACGGGACTGCCATGCGTTGCGCTGCCGTGACCTGCCCGCACCCCCAGTTCAGCGAAGTGGCGACAGTCGTGGACCAAACAGGACTTCGCCCCTGGATGCTACCACTCGCCCCAAACAGGACTTCCCCTCCTTCAACCACCCCCTTCCCCCCCTTTCCTCACCCTCCTCACGTCGCCTTGCCCTCCCTTTCCCGTCGCCCGCTCCCTTTTATCTCATCTCCTCTCTATCCCCTTCCCCTGATTCCCCAATTCCCACCTTTCCTCAACACCTCCCTCCGCCCTCACTCCCCCCCTCTTGCCCACATCTGCCGTCCCATGCGCGAGGAGGCACAAAGGTCAAGACCCCAGAGGTGGCTACTGGGACCAGCAACTCCGACGCAGCGGCCTTCTTTTCACGAAGTGGGCCCCTGGAGCTCTCCACCCCATCCCTGGGACCCGCTCTTCGCCGCGGCCGGCGCGGCCCGGCGATACCCCCCACCCTTGCGTTGAGATTGCGGAAACGCCCCCGTGGTGTGTTGGTCCCCCATGTTGTCGCGACGCTACACGTATGGGGGAGGCCCCACGGTGGCGGACTCCAGGCCTGCAGCGGTCAGTCAGGGCGTCGCGGGGCGGGCCCCTCCTGCACAACGGGCAGCTTGCGGCCCAGCGCGGTGGCCACCTTCTGGGAGACAGCCTGCGCGCGCTCGACTGTCTCCACCCCTTCGTTCCTCCATCCCTCCCGCCCTGTTTTCCTACATGCATCCTCCCTCACCCTCACTCGCCCCCTTCCTTGTCCTCGTCATCCTCCTACTCCTGTGCCTTCTCCCCCCCTCCCCTCCCATCCATCCCCCTCCGCGACCTGCCGCCGCCAAAAGGGCGGCGGCAGGTCGCGGAGGGGCGCCTGTCGCGGCGACTTCCATCGAAGCACGCGCGGCCTGGCGACCGCGCCGCCGCTCCCGCATTGCGAATGGGGGGCCCAATCGCCGCGCGCTCGGCGGTCGGTTCGCGCGCGGAACGAAACGCTTCCTCGAGGCGGGAAAAATCGCCCGCCTCTGGCACGAGTCGCCCCGGGCCGAGGCTCCTCTGCTCGCGAGCCGCGCGGGCCAATGCCTCGACCCATCCCGCCTGCCCGACCGCGTCGGCAGGCCAGCGGCCCCTGCGCGTCGGGCCCTCGCCTTTCTAGCCGAGTCGAGGCCCCCCATCGAGCCCGGCTCCGCCTCGAGCAGGCGGGCCCACTGAGTGGCGTCATCCTGCTTCAGCGCCTCAGCCACATTCTTGTGCACCCCTCCTCGCGGGGCCTCGGACTAGGCCACGGCCATCGAAGCAGGAAAAGACAGAGCGCCAACGATGCCTGCGCGAGCGCGACCCCGAATGTCTCACGACGCCCTGCCACGCACCGCGCGAACGCCACGGGCAAAACGCGCCGCGCCCGCGCGCGCGGAGCCGCGGCCACCGATGGCCAAGGACACGCGCCTCACGCTCGCAAGGCTCCACTCACGGGCAGAAGGTGCCACGACGGGGCAGACGCGCGCCACCCGCGCGCGGAGACGCGGCCACCCATGAGCCAGAGACACACGCCTCACGCGCGCAAAGTGCCACACGCGGGCAGATAGTGACACAATAGGGCAGACACACACGCCACGCACGCGCGACGTCGCGGCCACCAATGAGCCAAAGAAACACGCCACACCCGTGCACTGCGCCCCACTAAAGGGAAGGACACCCGCCACGCACGCGCGGAGCAGCGGCCCCAAAAGAGCCAGGGACACAGGCCACGCGCCTGCAAAGTGCCACGCACGGGCAGAACGTGCCACAACGAGGCAGACGCGCGCCACGCACGCGCGGAGTTGCGGCCACCAATAAACCGGGGACACGCGCCCCACGCGTGCAAGGTGCCACCTGCGGGCAAAGAGTGCCCCGATAGGGCAGACGCGCGCCACTCGCCCTCGCGCGGTTTAGCGGCCACCAATGAGCAAGGGACACACGACGCACGCGTTCGCAGTGCCGCGCGCGGGCAGAACGCGCCGCAGAGGGGCGGGCACGAGCCTCGCACGCGAGGAGTCGGCCACCAATGAACCGGGGACACACGCCTCGCGCGCACGAAATGCCACGCGCAGGCAGAACGCGCCACATAGGGCAGACACACGCCTCGCGCACGCGGAGTTGCGGCAACCAACGAGCCTGAGGACACCCGCCTCACGCGCACAAAGTGCCGCAAACGGGCAGAACGCGCCACCCAGGGGCAGACGCACGCCCCGCGCCCGAGCAGCGCCACGCGCGGGCAGGCGCGCGCCACGCACGCGCACACCGCATGGACATGCGCGCGCCGACGCCCGCGCGCGCGGCCGCGGTCGGCGCGCAGGCCGCGCCGCAGGTGCCCCCCGCCGAGCGCGGCGGGGCGCCCGCCCAGCCGAGCGCGCGCGGCGCCCCTTTCAATCCTGGGCGGCGCCCGCCCCCACTCGCGCGCTCGCCCGCGCAAGCAGGGCGGACAGCGCGACGCCTCGCGCCCGTCGCGTCGACCTGCGCCGCCGCGCGTCGCGCGGCGACCCCCCACATCGCCCAGACATGGGGGCCGGGGCGGGGGGGCCCGCCGCGCCGTTTCGCGACCGCGATCAACGTCGCGCGACGATGGCCCGCAATAGTACTCCCAAGAGGGCCCCAAAAGGCACGACTCGCTGATGTTCCGAAGGTGTCTGTCTGATCGATTTTGGGATTCGCGCCTCCGCCGGCTTCCCGACGCTTCCAAAACATCGCCGCAATCACAGCCCAAGGCCCCCAAAAGGGGCGCAACACGAACCGAGAGAGCCCCGAGACGGCCCAAAAATGCCTCGAAGACGGCCCAAGAGCCCCCAAAACGGTTCCAAGCGGGCGCCCAGACGGGGAGCCCGACCGAACACTATGAGCCTTCGGCCCGACAGCCTCCCGGGAACGCCAAAACGCCCCCGAGAGGCCCCACGAGACCCCGGGGAGGCCCCTGGGAAGCCCCAAGAACCCCCCTGGAGCCTCCCAACAAGCCCAAGGGTTCCCGAGAAGCCCCGAGAGCGCCCCGATGAAACCCAACGAAGCATCTCTGAGGACGCCGGCCCACGGCCCACGTCAGCATCGCCGTCGTCGTCGCGCATGGTCGGCGGCGCCAGCCGCGCGGACTCTCCGTTAGAGCCATGACGCCGCTTCTCCTCATTCTAATCCCCCACGTGCCCCACCCCAATCAGATCCCACCTCGCATGCACTCCTCGCCCTGCTCGACCACTTCCGCGCCCCCACGCATCATCGCAACCGCCCCCATCAGTGCCAGCGCTATCGGCAGTATCGATATCATCAACATCTGCATCATCGTCAAAATCGCCATCGTCATCAGCATGACCATCAACACCGCGCTGACCGTGGATTCCGCCATCATGGTGAGCAAAATTGCCACAGTCGCCGTGCAAGCCGGCGTCGCCGTCGCCAGTTCCATCAGCATCGCCGCCCCAACCGCCAGCACCGTCGCCACCATACCCAATTAAAACCATCCGCGCCCTGATGGGAGACAGCTCCAGCACGCGCCCACCCCCCCACCCCCCCCCCCCCCACCCACACCCCACACCCCACACCCCACACACACACACACACACACACACACACACACACACACACACACACACACACACACACCTGCTCATCGGAGGAGGAGCGGGGGAGGAGTGGCGGGGGGGAGACGAGGAGCATCGAGTCTCGTAGACCAGGGGGCGCTGCAGCATCCAACGCGCAACTGGTCTCCGTCGATTCCAAACTAGCTGCCCCCCACATGGCCACCTGCAACTGGGCCCCAACTGCCGCGGCGAAAAGGCGAACATTTTTGCGCTTGCATTTTCGGCATGACATGTCCCGCGGAGGCGCGCGTGAATGATGGCGCGCCCGGGATTCGAGCGATCGCCACCGTGCCACAGATGGGAAAGCCCCCGACAATACACCGCGAAACCGCCCTCGAGGAGCCCCGGGGGAGCACGAGCGCCGAGACCTAGCATGCGCTAGCCCTTGCGGCTCAAACTTGGAACGGCCCACGCACATCCAACGCAGTTTTCGAAACACCGCCAGGGCGCTCCCACACGGCGCGCCCGCGGCTAAAGGCCCCCCCGAAGGCGCCCGAATCCTCGAATTCCAGAATTCCCAGCCCCCCGGCTCGCGGCATTCGGTTCTCACGTGTCGCGCAGCGCCGAACGATGCAACATTCGCCTCGCCTGCTGCAACGCAAGCCTGAAGGCGCATAGACGAAAAACTGGGGCCCAAATTGATCTAGAGCCCAGGTGCCTGGCACATTGGTTCGCGATGACCGCCCAGACATGGGCTGAACTAACACCCCGTTGCGGGCGCCAGACTGCGCCTCCAGTGAACACGGCGTTGATTAGTGTCTCGCCCATTCATGGACATGTTGCCCCTGCTATCAGATTTGGTGTGAACCGCCAGCAAAACTCCCATGCGTTCCTACTTTGACCACTGCGTCGCGCCCTCGCCTCACGCCCTGGCGTCGCCATAGCTGGCAGACTTCGACGCGCCTGACTGCCCCAAACCCGCGCCTCCTCGAAAAAGCGCCGCCTGCACGCGCATCGCCCATTCAACGAGATTCCGCAGTCAATTTCAAAATTCCCGAGAACCGATTGCAGCCCGAACGTTACTGTGGAACCTGTGACGGCCCCGTAAAACTTCCATTCTCCAAATGGCAATGCCGCCAAGCTCTGAGTAGAACTCCACCCCTTCATAAAATGTGATCTTCACAAGACTGCGCCTCCGCCTGTTGACTTCCGCTTTTCTTGCAACCTGCATAGTCGGTGCCTGTCCACGCTGGTAACTTCCTAGGGCGTCCTCGATACAAAGACTGGTACCCACACATGTCGTGGTTCCTGAGATCATTGTCCGACCCTGCAAGACTCCCCCATACCCTCGGGCTGGCGCACATGGAACACGCAAGCTCCACGACTGAAACACGACTGCCAATACAAGCATGTGTTAGATGATACGGCATGGCCACTACTGCGCGGCATGGTTAACTTCATGACTTGGGAGGAGCTGCGCCGTCTTCTTCCGCGCATGGTAGCTTTTCACCTGGCATCTCGCAACTGACCTCGTACTGCCCCATGCCTAGCTCTTTGACAAGTATCTCGGCATGCCTCTGGTCCGCCTCGCGCCGCAACCCATGCCGGCCCCATTCCACGCTCCGGTTAATGATTATGATGGGTTTCAACACTTTCGGTCCAGATCCAAGTCTGCCCTAGACGCCTAGACGCTGACGCCCTCCCGCCATGGAAGCCAATGTCGCGCGCGAAATCCACGCAAGAGGTCCACCCAGTGGCCAGCGGCGCCAGCACATTGACTTTAGAGGGGGCGCGTTTCACGGGCGCTTGCCCGGGGGACATTCGGCGGCGCGCGTCGAGCCAGGGCGCGACCCCCCCCCAAACACTCGGCGCCGTCGATCAAAACTAGGGGGCGGCCCTCCCCCCAAAATCCCCCCCCCCCCGACAAGAGGAGGAGGGGGTTCAAGCCCCAACCCCCATCGGCGCCGGCGCCGGCGCTGGCGGCCGCCAGCAGCGCCGACAGCGGGGGCGCAGCGACGATGACCAGAAGCAGCTCAAAGGAAAGGGGGGTTCAAACCGGGCCCACCCCCACCCCGGGCGCCAGCGCTGGCGGCAGCGCTGGCGGCGACCAGCAGCGCCGGCG